GAGAGAGAGAGAGAGAGAGAGAGAGGAGGTTCTGAGGAGAAAGTAATGTTTACCTGATGGACATGAACGGTTTCGTGACCGTAGCTTTGCTGTAAAGGGGTATTCGCGTATTCTTGATGGGAAAGCTCTTCCTGCTTGGTGCCCGACGTGTTGTTGTAATAGAAGAGCTTGGTGCCCGACGTGTTGTTGTAATAGATCAACATTCTGTAGGAGAAGCGATTGTGTAAAGACGATAGTCTTTCGAGCCTGCTGAGGTGATCTGCAATATGAGCGACGTCTACCAGGTAGACAATGAGCTGCCCTGTGATGAACAGCGCCACGATTACAGCCACAGACCTCCAACAAAATGACAGCCTCATGATGAACCACTCTAATTATATAACGAAATGTAAATCAATCAATTTTTTGGTTTACCCATTTGAAGCAGCAGCTGCTTATCCACCACCGGAGGCAAAGAAATCGAGTATGAGAGGGGTGTTAGTGACCATCTCTGTAGTCTCTGCTCTGCTGTTGATCTGTCCTGATCTGACCTGATCTGATCCAGTCTGATCTGATCTGATCCAGTCTGATCTGATCTGATCTGATCTGAAACTTTGATCTGATCTGATCCACAGCGTGAACGTCTGTCAGGTCGGGATCTCCATGCAATGCAGCTTGTACCGCCGATGCCCCTGAGGATGAAAACTCCAATTGCCGATCTCTTGCCACGTGTCATATCAAGTGTGATGAGTAAAAGCTGCTTTGCAGATTGACTCGTAAAGACCAAGAGCCTGCCCCTGTCTGCAGAGAGGAATTAGCGACCTGAGCTGTCTGCAGAGAGATTTTCTGTTACTGTTACAGTTACAGTTACAGTTACTGTTACTGTTACTGTTACTGTTACACTTACAGTTACTGTTACTGTTACAGTTACAGTTACAGTTACTGTTACTGTTACTGTTACTGTTACACTTACAGTTACTGTTACTGTTACTGTTACTGCTGTGCACAGTCACCAAATGGGAGAGGTACAATGTCAGAGGAATTACCGAGCGATAAAAGCCACGTGCAAGGAACCATCAACGACAACAAAAATTTCCCAGCAGCAAAAGATGCAAAGCGGAACCAGTTTTATATATATATCGTCAAACAGAGCTGCCCGGTAAACCGTAGGCAGAGAGGGAGAAGAGGACAACAAACGAGGGGCTGGTTCAAAGTGTTTCGTCGGAGTTTCACCCACTCATCAATATATATACGGCCGCTCAACCGACATCCACGTGGGCGGGCTTGTACGCAAGAGGTTCTGAACAGGAGGAGTTGTAAGGAAGAAGATAAAAAAAAACGAATTATTATTTTTTTTCTTGTTTCCTTTCTGTTGTTTTCGTTTTTGCGCTCTGATATTCATGTGACGATACATGTGACGATATATATATATATATATATATATATATATATATATATATCGTCACAAACAGAACTGCCCGGTGAAACCGTAGGCAGAGAGAGAGAAGAGGACAACAAATGAGGGGCTGTGACAAACTGTTTCGTCGGAGTTTCACCGACTCATCTATATATCGTCAAATAGAACTGCCCGGTAAACCGTAGGCAGAGAGGGAGAAGAGGACAACAAACGAGGGGCTATATATATATCCACGTGGGCGGCCTTGTACGCAAGAGGTTTTGAACAGGGGGAGTTTTGTAAGGAAGAAGGTAAAAAATGAATTTATTTCTTCTTTTTTTCGCATTTGCGCTCTGATAAATGTGTGACGATATATATATAAAGAAATCGTCAATATATTTATATATATTCAGCCTCCTGATGAGTCGGTGAAACTCCGACGCAGCAGTTTGCCACAGCCCCTCGTTTCTTGTCCTCCTCTCCCTCTCTGCCTACGGTTTACCGGCCAGCTCTGTTTTATATATATAAACAGTTTGTCACAGCCCCTCGTTTGTTGTCCTCTTCTCCCTCTCTGCCTACGGTTTACCGGGCAGTTCTATTTGACGATATATATATATATACGAAACAGTTTGTCACAGCCCCTCGTTTGTTGTCCTCTTCTCTCTCTCTGCCTACGGTTTACCGGGCAGTTCTATTTGTGACGATATATATATAGGGAAAACTAGGGGGCAGTCAAAGTTTTCAGTTTTGAATGCCTCTCAGTCACGGTCTCGTGAATTTTGCTCCAAAGCGAGGAAAATCGTGAATGTATCCAACCCAGCTTTATGGTTGGGTGGGGATGTGTTGTATTCGAGGGATGCCTGACGTGGATTTAGAGCTCTAAAGTTACCCCTATAGTAATATATGTTGGACGACGTATAATATTTAGTTTTCCATCTGGTGTGGGTGAGTGCTAGTCTGCTTTGATTTTCGTCACAGGTACCTTGAGGGCAGTGGTTGGTGGTCCCCACCACCTCAGAGGGGTATCAGTTGGTCCGGCAGTCGTTGATGCTTAACCACAACCGCCGGGGTTAAGGTGTATTATCACTTACTTAGTGTAATCTCTTAGCAGGGGGTTCTGCAGACTGTTGAGGGTTCAGCCTCCCCCTCCTGCTGAGTCAGCCGGTGAAACAGTCCGACGAAACAGTTCGAGTTTGTCACAGCCCCTCCTTTGTTGTCCCCTTCTCCCACTCTGCCTACGCTTTACCGTGCAGCTCTGTATTTGTGACGATATACATAATATATATATATATATATACTACCCCTTAGAGGGCATTGACCGCGGGGGCAGGGGCCGTGGTGCGCTGCGCGCCGGGCAGGGGTGGAAAAATGCGGCACAGCGGTCCGATCGAGAAACGATCGGCGGTTGGAGTCGGGCCCGAGGCCGTTTTTTTTAACGAATTGTTACGTCTGCACGGTGAAAGTCGTGAGGGGGCAGCTGTCCGGGGCCGTGGTCCCATTAGCAAAGAGCATCGGATCGGATTGAATGCCTGAATCTGGACGTGTTTGAGGACAGGAGCAGGAAATCGAGATCGAACTGCTTTGCTGTATCTCTGCATAGAACATAGCCAGATTCAGGATTTCAATCCAATCCCCGTTGCTACCAGTAGTGGGACCATGCTCCGGGCGGCGAGAGATGAGCGTGGATGAGCTCAAATATCTTGCACGCTGAGGCGCCCGATAGCGAGCCGCGTCGTTTTGTTATTATTATTATTACATTCATTTTGGTTCATGTTTTTTTTTTTTTTTTTTTTTTTTTTTTAGAGTGAAKTTTTAAAGTAGATTCCAATTCCCGAAAAAAAAAAGAAARAAAAAAARAAAGTAGATTTTTTTATTTTTTATTTTTTATGTTTATTTATTTTTATTAAGAAAGTAGATTTCAAACCACACGCCACGTTGGCGAGCTGCAGGGCACGAACGACCGGTAGAACGCACGAGCGAGAAAGTCTGCAGCAACCGAGCGACCACAGGACCGAGGCATCGGAGAACGGATAGGCACGCTTTACCCACCGAGCGACCGGTAAGCTCCCAGCGGGTCGATGTCTGCTGGTGTGCGCGTGGTATATCTGCGGCGCAGGCGGAAGGACTGCGGGGAAGTGGAGCCCTCCGTTGATTGGTTGCAGTTTGGTGCATGGGCAGCAGGGCGGCGATGGCGTAGAGCGGACTCAAGCAGCAAACGAACGCGAGCGGGCGGGTGGGTTTTGGTGATGGGTAGCAGGTGATTTCGTAGATAGCGTGAGCCTTTTTTTTTTTTTTTTTTTTTTGCCTTCTTTTTTGGGGAATGGGACGGATGAGATGATGTGGACACCTTCCTCCCTTTGGCGCTGCGTTTGCTAATCAACGCTAGGCGCGCTTTACGGTCCTCCGCTGCTGGTACTCAAACTCAATCAACAGACTCCCGGGCTTACCTGCTGGCCTAGGCATCACCTCAAGAAGAAGATGCTGCTGCCACGGGGTTTACCTGCTTGTGCTGATCAGCTCAAGAAGAAGATGCTCTGTGGTGCGCACGTGCGCGCGCACAGGCGCACGCATGCGCTCCCCTCCCACCAGAGAACGTACTTTGATTGAGATAGGAAAGCAAAATGCAGGGGGGGATTAGATCGACCCGTACACAAGAAGCAAAAAAACGAAATGCAAGGTTGAAGTTTAAAAGGGAGGAGGGAGCAGATCGAGGAGGGAGGGAGGAGGGAAGGAGGGAGGGAGCAGGGAGCGAGGAGGAGGATGGAGAGAGGGAGGTGGAGGTGAAGGGAGGGAGGATGGAAGTGGGCGATCAGGCAGATTTCGAGCAGAGAAAGGGGAGATAGGTGATCGGGCAGAGTGAGGAAGGGAGGGAGGGAGGTTAGGCAAGGGCGGAGGTAGGACAAAGAGGGACTGGGCAGAAGGAAGGAGGAAAGCGGGAGGCGGAAAAAAAAAGCGGCAGGGAGTAGGTCAGCCGGATGTTGCACGAAGGGAGAAAGGAGGTAGGGAAGAGGGAGGAAGGAGGGAGGAAGGAGGGAGGAAAAAGGGAGGGAGCAAGAAGGGAGGGAGGAAGAAGGGAGGGAGGAGGTCACGAAGAGGTTGAGGAGAGATCGGAGGAAGGTCGGGGATGGAGAGGGAGGAGGTCGGGCGGAGGGAGGGAGAAGGTCCGAAGGACGGAATTTGGGCGGCCACGACCGCTGGGAGGAGGTCAGTGTTCACACGTAAATGAGAGAGAGAGAGAGAGAGAGAGAGAGAGAGAGAGAGAGAGAGAGAGAGAGAGAGAGAGAGAGAGAGAGAGAGAGAGAGAGAGAGAACTGCAATCAGAAAATGCACCAAGCGTGTTTACTTTATGAATGAACGCATATCGTCGACTTCAAGTTCAATGTAACCACTTCCGGGAAGAAGTGATCGTGCTGTCGATGATGAAGGTGAGGAGGAGAGGGGAGGAGGGAGGAGGGAGGAGTAGAGAGGACGAGAGTGGAGACTATAGTGGAGAGGGGAGGAGGGAGGAGGGAGGAGTAGAGAGGACGAGAGTGGAGACTATAGTGGAGAGGGAGGAGGGAGGAGGAGAGAGGACGAGGGTGGAGAGTACAGTGCGTTGAGAGGGGGAGGGTCGGAAGAAGGCGCTCTACACGCTTCCTTTTTTTTCAGTTTTTTTTTAATAATCAATCAATCAAGAAGGCCCTCTCTCCCCCCCTGCCATTGATTGATTGATTGATTGATTGGGGGGGGGAGAAAGGGGGGGTGCGGGGACATGGATGAAAGGGGGAGGGGAGGGTGGGTGGGGGTGACCACGGGGAAGAGCGAACACCGGGTTAGGAGGTGAGGCGCGAGGGGCAAGGTGGGGTGGCGGGGGAAGGTCGCAAGAAGCCCCTCTCTCCCCCCCTTTTTTTCTTTTTTTTCTTAATCAACCAATCAATCAACCAATCAATCAATCAATCAATCAGTTTTGATTGGTTGATTGATTGGTTGATTGACTGATTTATTGATTGGGACCTAGCAGCGCTCTCTCTCTCTCTCTCTCTCTCTCTCTCTCTCTCTCACACACACACACACACACACACACACACACACACACACACACAATCAGTTTTATGTCTGTCAATCTTTTTCCTGTTGTCTGTGACGAGCTTGCAATGAATCTTAGTTAGGATTCGTTGTTGGTGAGTTTTTGTGGTCGCTTGAGTAGTTGGCTCGTTGGTAAAATTGGTGTTTGTTTCAATGGTGTTTGCTGGTTGTTGGTTGCTTTGTGGTGTGTTTGTTGATAGATTTTGAGTTGCGGGTTGTACCTGGTTTGTTCGTTTGGATGGGTAATTGTTCGTTGGTTTGGATTTTCCTCTAATTACATCCCCAATGGTCTTTTTGAGTGTTTAGTCTCTGGGCTTTGTTTCGCAGTTGTTACCTTGGCTAGTTGGACGCATGTGCTGATTAGCTCTGACTACATGGTTCCTTCTGCGCAGTTAGTATTTTTTTGGGCGTGTTT